GGTCGGTATGCTTAGCTCTCTTTCGAATTCACAACCCTCCCCCCCCCACAAGATCCTGATGGATCCTCCCCAATGTTGATATTTCTCGATCTGAATAGCCAGTCCTAGAACCTGAGAAGGAGGCATCAAAGGCATCAAAGGGAATTTCATATTAAATTTCCTCTTTACCTGCCGGAGCATTTTCTCTCTACTTCTGATGTTCTGTGATAGCATCCTAGTGCCATATGACTGCTGTCTTATTGATATCTATGCAAAAGGAAATCTTGAAGATTCGGAATAACAGAATAACAGACTTGGAAGGGACCTTGGAGGTCTTCTAGTCCAACCCCCTGCTAAAGCAGATGACCCTGTATCATTCCAGAAAAGTGGCTGTCCACTTTTGGTCTGTGTCTCTTCTTAAAAGCCTCTAGTGATGGAGCATCCACAACTTCTGAAAGCAAGCCATTCTACTAGTTAATTGTTCTCAGTATTTGGAAGCTTCTCCTTAGTTCCAGGTTGCTTCTTTCCTTGATTAGTTTCCATTCATTGTTTCTTGTCTTGCCTTCTGGTGCTTTGGGAAATAGGTTGACCCCTTCTTCTTTGTGGCAACCTCTTAGATATTGGAAGACTGCTATCATATCAACCCCTAGTTCTTCTTTTCACTAGACTAGACATACCCAGTTCCTACAACCATTCTTCATAGGTTTTAGCCTCCAGCTCCCTAATCATCTTTGTTGTTCTTTTCTGTACTCTTTCCAAAGTCCTAACAGCAGAGAAGAGCAACAAAGATGATTAGGGAGCTGGAGGCTAAAACATATGAAGAACGGTTGCAGGAACTGGATATGTTTAGTTTAATGAAAAGAAGGACTAGGGGAGACATGATAGCAGTCTTCCACTATCTCGGGGGCTGCCACAAAGAAGAGGGAGTCACGCTATTCTCCAAAGCACCTGAGGGTAGGACAAGAAGCAATGGGTGGAAACTAATTAAGGAGAGAAGCAAATTAGAACTAAGGAGAACTTTCCTAACAGTTAGAACAATTAATCAGTGGGACAACTTGCCTCTAGAGGTTGTGAATGCTCCAACACTGGATGTTTTAAAGAAGATGTTGGATAACCATTTGCCTGAAGTAGTGTAGGGTTTCTTGCAGGGGGTTAGGCTAGAAGACCTCCAAGGTCCCTTCCAACTCTCTTATTCTATTTCTATCTTTTTTATAATGTGATGACCAAAACTGGATGCAGTATTCCAAGTGGGGTCTTACTAAGACTTTGTAAAGCGGTAATAATAGTTCACATGATCTTGATTCTATCCCTATTCTCTATTCAATCCCTATCCTATTTCTATTCAATAGAGTCTTTCCCCAACCCAAAGAGAGGAATTGAGATTGCAACTTTACTGTTTCTGGAGAAAATGGCAATAAACCAAACACCCCTCCTCCTCCTCCTCTTCTTTCTTTTTAGAATGTGATCCCATAATTGCCACAAATGTTTTTGACTCTTTTTACAGATAATTATGTAAGCCTTCAGAGAATGTCAGAATTTAATTTTTCCTATTACTAACCTGAAAAATGTTTCCCCTTCTTAGGAAACTCTTTCTAAGTCCTGTATGGGATCTGGGAGCTATAGCAGGGTGACAAAGAGATCCAGAAAATTCTAATTTTTTTCTATGGCCTATTGGCCATCTGTAGTTTTGCACTCCAGCTATGGTAGTTCTGTGCACAATAAACCCTTCCAATATCTTTGTTTTTGAATATAAATCAGTAAAACTAGAGATGAATGCTACCCTGCATGAACGCAACAGAAATTCTGGTCCTAATCGTGTTCGTAAGCCAAGGTTTACCTTTACTGGCCCTGGATTCTGTGTTTCCATCATCATCTTTTCAGATTCCATTTGCCTATCAAGGGAGAATTTCTGGCACTGTTTTATATTTTCGCAGAATATGTCATTGAAAAAACAAATCTGCATTCCCCACCCACCCACCCTGTACCTCTAATGAAAAATTGCTGTTGTTTTAAGGATCACGTTATCCGTGGGTTCATGCAGAAGTCAAGAAAAGAATGGCAGAGAGATTTGAAGAGCTTCTTCCTAATACCTTTTAGGCGCAGGCAGCCCTAATATATATTCTGTCACCATTCAATTTCTTTTGGAGGAAAGGAAATAGATTCAAGCAGAGACCCAAGAGCACCTACGGAGGGATTTTTAGCTATATATTTTTGTGGGTCTGACAAAATGCTGCTGACCTACTTAATTAAATGTGGTCTTGCATGCTGACAACCAAGATTTATAAAAATCACTTAGACCTTTATTGAAAAATCAATTATTTCTAACATGCAAGCAAAACAAAAAAATATATGAATAAATAAATACGCCAAAGAGCAATGCTTGATAAACTGACCATAATCAATATGGGTTAAAAATACAGCCCACAACATTTTTAAAGTTCTCATTCCAACGTTCTCATCTTTGATTCCCAGGGTGAGATGCAGTCCTCGGTTCCTAAAGTTACAGAGCTGAATCTTTTAATATTTTATTACTTGAAACTTTTCAACCAGCAAGTGGCACAACCAGTCCTGTCAAGAGAACTCAGTAGAGGCCTTGAACAAATGTAAAAATAAAGCAGTCATAATCAAAAGTGGTGCTTTTATAATTAACTTGTTCTTAATAAAATACATTCAACAATAACATGGGTGCTTCTAGCAAAAATATCGTGTAAAACTTAATGAAAAGTAAATACAGAGAGTCTTCGACTTATGGCCGTAATTGAGCCTGGCAATTACAGTCATTAGTTGTGATGGTCATCAAGTGAGTCACCATGTGACCAGACCCATTTTTACAACCTTTTTTTGTGGCAGTTGTTAAGCAAAGATGGCAGTAACTAAGCCAGGGATATCAAATTCAAGGCCTGGGGGTCGGATCAGGCCCGCGGGCTGCTTAGATCTGGCCCATGGGGCCACCCTGGAAATAGTGAAGGACTGGCCTGCGGTGCCTCTGCCAGAGAAAACAGAGCTCGGGAGGACCGCACGATCTGTTTTCCCTGGCAGAGAATTGCAGGAGGCCATTTCAGCCAAAAATGGAGCTTGGGAGCCTGTTTTCTCTGGCAGGGTGCTCAGGCCACCACAGGCACCCCCGACACAAGTGATGTCGAGCTGACCACACCCACCCTGGCCATGCCCAGTCTGGCCCCCCGAGGGTCAAACATAACCCTGATGCAGCCCTCAATGAAATTGAGTTTGACACCCCTGTACTAAGCGAACACTGCAGATGTTAAGCAAACCCATTTTTCTCCAGTTTTTGTTGGAAACTTGAAATAAACACTGGTTTCTAACAAAACCATCATAAATCATGGTCACGTGGCCATATATAGGAGAAGAGCAGGCTGAGCTGGAGGGCAGAGTTAAATGTTTCATTAGTTTAGAGTCATTGCGTTACCACACGAGATCCAAGTCCAGTCCCCTTTGTTTCCATTGACCCTTATTTAGCGCCAATTTAGCTTTAACCATTATTTAACTAGATCCTTGTGTACAGGTAGCAATAATAAACTCTTCTGTGATTTGAACTCAACAAATACTCCTGATTATTTGCGCCTGATACCACAGAGCGCCACAAACAGCCATAAAAGTGGGCCAATTGCTGATCGCCCAAAACTGCTCAGTCTTGTGATTGCAACAGAGGCAACATTGAAACTTTGACATTTTGATCACTTCTGAACTTCGTGCTTGATGTGGAAAAGAATGAAAATCTGACTTTGGGTTTTACCGATTAGACAGATAGATCTTTATAGAAATGGCTTGTTCATATTCTTAATGAAAAAGCAAAACGTGGTGATGTCAGCGTTCCAGAAAACGTGCAACTCCCAGTAAAGACACTGAAGCAGGCATTTTCCAAAGTTCTCTTTACTAGAAAAGGTAACCTGGCACATCTGGGAAATCCCGAATCTGAAAAACCCTTCAGTAATTCCTTCAGTAATTCAAAGCTCCCCCAAACCACCCCCTTTCTCCTCAATCGATCACATGCTCCAATTATCGTCCGTTCCACCTCAAGCCAGCCCCTGACCACTCTTCCTCCAGATGCTGGCTCACCCTGACCTTGACCGATAGGAAGAACGCTATTATGTCTACTAATTCCCCTCTCCTAAATCCCCCCTCCTACTTTCCCACACATGAGGGGCTGGCAGCATTGAAGCTTCCGGCCTAATATGGCTTCCAAGGCTGACAGGTGATTTGATGTTAATGCCTTATTTTACTGTAACAGAGAGAGTCAGAAGTCAATACTTCTTTTTCTTTTTTCTTTTCTTATCTTTCTTCATTTCTCTTCCCCCTTTTCCCTCCTGCTGCTTTTCTATTTACTTTTGCATTTTGTATTTTATAATAGTTTATAATTCAATAAAAAAATGTTGACTGAGAAATTTTGATCATGTGTCTATGGGGATGTAAACGTGAAAAATGGTTATAAGTTACTTTTTTTCAGGGCCGTTGTAACTTTGAACAGTCACTAAATAAACTGTTGTAAGTAGAGGACTACCTGTAGCAAGAAATTTCTTCTCTGTACACTGCTTAGAGAGGGCTGTAAAACATGGTGAAGTGGTATATAAGTTTAAGTGGTATTGCGATAATATGGGCACACCAGATTCAATGGTAATTTTTCATTATGAGCAACGGTGGCGCAGTGGTTAGAGTGCAGTGCTGCAGGTTACTTCTGCTGACTGCCAGCTGCCTGCAATTTGGCAGTTCAAATCTCACCAGGCTCAAGGTTGACTCAGCCTTCCATGCTTCTGAGATGGGTAAAATGAGGACCCAAATTGTTGGGGGCAATAGGCTGACTCTATAAACCGCTTAGCGAGGGCTGTAAAGCACTGTAACGCAGCATATAAGTCTAAGTGCTATTGCTATTGCTATTACAATTATTATATTTGCTCCTTTTAATTTGTTTGGATAGTTAGTTGTCTCGAGTTTGATTGATTATAGAAAAAAACAGTTTGCAAGAGCCTAAATCTATAAATAAAACAAGTGCTCCTCACTTCCAGATTGTTCCATCCCCGCCGGTTCCACAAACAACCCAAGGTTTTATCGGCTGGAGGTCTTCCGTTCCAGGCTTAGAACTTGAGCGTTATTATCAGATCAGAAGCTGCAAAGGTGCCTTTTACAAGGACTTGAAATGGCCAAATGAACCAACCGACTGACTTCAACCCAGTACGTAGGCCGACTTTGGTTTCTTTTGCTTCCTTTCCTAAGCATCTTTCAGCTGCCATTTCTGTTAAGGAGTCATCTTGCTATTAGTAACCTGTTTGTGCGTCACCCTTGCAAAGCTTGGGGTTAAAATTAATTACGGTACAGGAAGCGTAGCCTAGTAACAGCAGTATTAAACACCAGTTCTGTGTAATGTGTTATGTTACTTTACTGTTTTGTTACCGGAGCGGTCCTCTTTCTTCATAACAATTTGGAGACCCCCAGAAGATTTTTAGCAGAATGGAGCAAAGGAAACAATGCTTGGGATGTTCATTGAGATCCATATGACCTTCAAAACTGCCCCACCCACCCACCCCAAATTCACTTTAGATATAATTGACATGCCTCCTGCCATTTTGAGGTGGGACACGCACCAAACCAGTACTACAAGAGCCAAATAAAATTAATGTAGTTTAAAAAAACAAACACCTATTCCAAAACAAGGAAAACTCTTAGACTTTTCATCAATGTAATGTGGTTCCGTCTACAGTACTTTACAGCAATCCTACTCACTCTGAAGTCTTGGCATTTCCAAAAATGCTAAGAGCAGCCATCAGAAAGTTTTCTACTTCTACGTTAAAATTGTAACATGGTTTGCTGGTTTGTGTCATACAGTGTTATCTACAAATGGTGGTTTAAGTCTAGATTGTGTGAGCTCAGCCAATTATGATTATTTCAATAAAAAGAGCTTCACAAACCTTTTTTAAGAGAGAAGATGGTGGGGAAAGGGATAATGCTATCAGATCTGGGCTACCAAACTCCAGGCATCTACTCAATGGAATCAAAAAGATACAGAAAATTAAAACAAATTTATTAATTGTATCTTGGATAATTTATATTTCGTAGACCAAAATGTGTAGTTTCTGTTCTTGTTCGTGGCTGTGTTCATACAACTTGTTTAATCTGACTTTGTATTAACCTACTTAAATAACTTGAATCACAATCATATTGGTTTGCACAACATGGAGAGCCACAACAATTCTAACCCAGGTTAATACTTAGTGAGCTTGGGAGGTAATGTGAATGCAATAAGTGAGTTGGCAAAGCATGTTGTATGAACCCATCTAGTGTCTAACAGGGCTTCATTAGATTTTGCTGGTGATCTTTTGAGTCCTAATTAGATTTAGCTTTGCTCAATTCCTTGAGATCTGCTAAAATTGGTTGTCATCTAATGTGCACGTGAACTGTGGAAAAAAGAAAATGGACATCACAGAAGTGAGAAAGAGGTGGGCCAACCAAGAGCAACTTGATCAAAGATTCCCGAAAACATCGAACAAACAACAGGTAAAGAATTTAAAATGCAATATATCAAACTTCAGCAAACAGAAGGTTAAATGCCCGTTCTCTAAAATTGGTGATCTCAATCAGTGACACGCATAACTCAGGTGGGACTCAGGCAGTTATCAAAGTGAGACATGGAGTAAATCAATAAAATTAAGTCTTTAAAACTTAGGTAAATGAACAATATTGAGATAGACGGTAGTGTTGGCTGGGCTTGCCAATCTCAAAAGCTGAGTAGATTAGATTATTCAAAGAAGACAAGAAAATTCATGGGCTAGGCTAAGAAATTGAAAAAGAACCCAGAAGACGTCAATGGCACCACTTCCATATTGCTACAAGAATGTGTCCGCGAAGTCACCAGGAGTTGATCATTACCAGAAGAGTTCTTTTGTGGAGAGAATTCCTCGGACAGCATAAAAAAGCTCATTTACCATGGGTTGCAACAGAGATTTGTGTGGTAAAACTTTGACCAGCCCTACCTCCCACATTCCTGAGGTTAAATGTGGCTTGAAAAAAAGCTTTCGGAATTACAATTGAGGAAAATAACTTTTTAAATGAGAAGCAAAAAATAAGATTTTACAGAATTACAAATAAAGTGCTTTTCTATGTAACCTCTTGAATGCCTTTTCCAAGAACAATAATGTTTTTCAGGTTCAGAACTGGAAGTGAATCGTATTTTATTTTATTTTTATTTTATTTATTTGTCAAGAACATATTAGGTAATATATTGTATATAAGTAAAAGCATGAATTGAATACATAAAATAGATACAAATAGAGGAAACATTAGGACAGCGACCGTAGGCACGCTGGTGCTCTTATGCACGTCCTTTACTTAAATGACATATAGCAATGAAACATGATGTTAAGACTAAAATATTGCATGTCTATGTCCATGTATGGGGTTTTTTTAACATCAGGCTTTGGACAACAATGCGGGGAGATTTGCTGCTAAGTAGCATGCACTACAAACTGTTAATCAGAGCCTCAACATCTATAATTAACTGTGTCTTTCAATGATAATATGAGCTTTGCATAATATTGATTTTCCCCAGATGTAATAATTTATCAATATATTGCACACCATTTTTTCCATATAGTAAGGACATGCATGCAAACATTCAGTACAAAACTAATTGGATTTCACCTCAAAGTTCATTAAAACATTGCTCTTTGCAAAAGGTTAGACGTGGAATTTCAAGCAAACAAGGACTTTCACTGTTTGAGTTCCATAAAGGAGTTATCTCTGATATCTATCTTCCTAAATCTAGACCAGCAGTGTCCAACATTGGAACTTTAAGACTTGTGGACTTCAGCTCCCAGAATTCTCCAACCAGCATGGCTGGCTGGGGAATTCTGGGAGTTGAAGTCCACAGGACTTTCACCTTTTGAGTTCCACAAAGGACTTATCTATAACATTGATCTCACTAAGTCTAGACGAGGAGTGTCCAACCTTGGATCTTTAAGGCTTGTGGACTTCAGCTCCCAGAATTCTCCAACCAGCATGGCTGTCTGGGGAATTCTGGGGTTTGAAGTCCATAGATCTTAAAATTACCAAGGTTGGACACCGCTAGTCTAGAAGATATGAGCACCTGTAATGAAATGTGGGAATGAACTTGGGGGAAAAGGGGGAAGAGAAGGAAAGAGATTTAGGAAACGCCTTCCAAAGTTTCTTTCTCTGCCTAGGAAGCAATTAGACAAGAGAGGCAGGAGCCCCCTGTGATTCAACAGGCAGAGGAAGAAACTTAGGAAGGATTCACGCTAATGGATCAAGCAGTTAAATTGGTGATGGGAAGTCTGTACTTTCAAACCTATAACATTCTGTTAATCTTACAATGAAAAAAATGTTCCTCTAGCTGGGTTTCCTGCCTGGTTTACCCAGCACCCAAAACTTTCATAGCTGATAATTATACTTAAAACTATAAGGTGAGTGTCATCGTTCCGAGTAATGAACTCCGGGAAGTCAGAACTCTGACATTTTCTTCAGGTACAAGAAATCTTTTATTGAGTACATCGTATCTGTCAGATCTGGAAGCCATCTTTTACATTTGGGCCTTCAGGCCTGCCACATTTTCTACTGTAGAAAAATGGGAGAGAAGATTGTATAGAGTATGGGTGATATATAGTCAAAATAATATTCTTTTCTCAGAGAGTCAAGACCACTTTGCCCTGCACCTGTGATGAGGTGACTGGGAGGCATCTCCACTTCTGGATGCTGCCTGATTGGATCATGTGATGGACATGTGGGTGCTGGGCAGGGACTTGAACTTTCTTTTGGGTGGGGAAAACCTGGAAACTTTCAGATTCGGGTTTTCCCAGATGTGTCAATATGACATCTCTAATAAAATGGAACTTTGAGGAAACTCAAGCCCTGGAGTCTTCTTTCGTTAGGGGTGTTACTTGGAATCCTGACAATATCAGCACTTAGAAAGGTGAAGCTAGCTCTAAATTATTCCCGCGCTTAGGGATAGTTAAAAAAGTGAGACCTCCCCACCCCACTACCCCTTTCAGTTCACATGGGCCAATCAGTCCAGATGTAGGTTCCCACTCTATTTTGACAGGTGTCCATTGACATAACCTTGGTTGTCACGCCAGCTGGTAGATGTTATGACTAGCCAGCTGAGGCACCACATTCCTGAGCCCCCCCCCCCCGCTCTCTCCCCCCTCCCCTCGAATGGCAGCCAAGAAATGAAGCAGAAGTAAGTATGGCTTCAAGTGAAGTTGTTTTGCAGGTTGACAGTGAGCCTATTACAACTGCAAACTTAAAAGAAGCTTGTAGCCACTCAGACATTCTTTTAAACTGGTGGTCCAGGGTACTTAAGACTGGGCTGCAAATAATTTAAGCTGTGGAGGATTTTCTGCAGTTTTAAAAATTTGCTCTGTGTGTGTGTGTGTGTGTGTGTGTCCATTGTTTGATCTCTCCATTTGGCCATTTTCATCAGTCAATAATTTTCAAATATATTTCTTCATTAACCAGATCTCTCTAACATGGTCCTCCCGGATGGATGTTCTTTTTTATTATTATTAAAAAAAAAGGGGGGATAACAACAATAACAGTCACCTTCAAACACAGTTACAAATTAGTGATAAAAAGGTCTGGCTAGTGAATTGCAAACAGGCAACATCCAAGTATTTAATCACTCCAGCTATGAAACCTGGCATTTAATCTATGGAAATTAACCTCCTTATTGGAATCCAACTGGGTACATAAATGTCACCAGTGCTTTAAAAGGCCACACAATTGCCAAGGTCACAACAGTGTAAGTAAATCTGATGTATTATCTTAGGCATAAGCATCAAGACCAATTCCCATGTGACTTTGGTTCTTGTCCTTTAAAGATCATCTTTAGGATTTGGAACGAAGGTTTCCGCGTTAATTTTATGGGTGCATATTTTTCTTTCTTGTTATTAGTTAAGTTTCTTAATCAGAACAAGATTCTCTTAATGCTTCACTGTGAGATGTAAAATAAAGCAGGACTAGTACTCATAGTACAGATATAAGAATAAATAGGTAAGGGGAAATTTTTTAAAAAAATTGATTTTTTTTAAAAAAAACAAAACAATGCCAGTAGGCAAGCTTGCAATTTAACCTACTGAATAGATTGATAGATTCAATGATCGATTCATTGAGTCATTCATTCATTATTGTGTTATAAACTCCCGGATTCAACTAAAATAATTCCT